GGGAGCACTCAGTGGAGGAGCAGGGAGCACTCAGTGGAGGAGCAGGAAGCACTAGGCCTTCTTCTGTAGCTGGGGCCTGCTCTGTTGTCAGAGATGAAGGCTTACTCACCTGAAGGAAGACGTGTGTGATTGGTAGTCTTACCCTTACCCTGCTGGCCCCATCCTTGAGAGACTGGGGGCTGGCCGAGGCCTTAGGTCAGGAGTCCCGAGAGTGCTCCCGCCTGCTGCTACACCGCTCTCTGACTCTGAAGAAGAGCGCCTCCCCCCACCCCAACCTGGGTGTCTTGCCGGTTACAACGTCTTGTCCACACAAAAGCGTTAAGGGACAATAATAAAAGGAAAGTGCTTTGAAGCCTTACACATCACTCTGCAAGCCCAGTGGCTGATGGGAAAGGATGGCAGCAAGCCGGAGCCACCAGGAAAGAGGCTCCCCGAAACACTTGGCCTCCCAGCACCGGCTCCTTGTGCCCTTGTCGCCCCAGCTTGGTGGGGATCTGAGCCTACCGAACGTCCGCCAGGTTTGCCAGGTCCTTCTCTGTGGCCAGACCTCTGCCTTCTTGAACATCAGCTTCCTTGGGCCGTGGCTGGGAACTGCAGTGTGAGGTGTCAGAAGCTGATCACCTCAGCTACAGATGTGGGGGCTGGTGACTAAGGGAGGCAGCCAGAAATCACTGCTTCGCCAGCCTTGGCAAGCTGGGGTCAGCCATACTGGATACCCTGGGGTAGCGGAGGTGACCTAAGAGCTTCTTCTTTCCCTGGACAGCCAGAGAAGCTGGGTGACATCTGTACCTCCTTGCGCTACGTGCCCACTGCCGGGAAGCTCACCGTCTGTATCCTGGAGGCCAAGAACCTCAAGAAGATGGACGTGGGGGGCCTTTCAGGTAATGCAGAACCCCCGGGTGCCAGTGTGTGGCACCAGTGAGCCAGTCACTGCCCTGAGTCCCCGGAGCTGACAATAGAAAGCATCTTGCTGTTGCGGGCACAGGCTTCTGGGTCTTACCTTTCTTCCAGGCTGCCTCTCCACATCTGAGTCCCTTCCCATTGCCCTCTGGCCACGCCCACTGGGCCATGGAGAATACAGAAGGATTTCATTCTCCACATGAGCGAAGGATGTAGGACTTTTCTCAGGAAGTGTGGGCAGGGGCAGGGCTTAGCCCAGTCTGCCTCGCCACCAGAGTCGGGGGGTATTTTTCCAGGAGAGGATGTAAGCTCTGCCAGCTCTGTTCTGGAGGGGGGTGCTCTGGGTTTCAGACTTCCCTGACTGTGAAGAGGGCTAGCCTGTGCTACAGGATGCTGACAGGGAAAGCATACTCCCTCTGCAGAGCCTCCTCAGACGATAAGCCCTGTAGCTGGGATTTGGCTCCGTCTTGGGCTGGTCACTTCCCTTCTGTATCCTCAGATTCTCATCGGCATAACTGGACGGGGTGGGGGCGGGGTGGGGCAGAGTGAGCTTTGACTTCCTTTTCTGACTCTGGCTTAGCTCAGGCACCTGGCCAGCTAGTCCCCACACTTCCTCACAAGGCCGTTCTTAAGCTCAGAAGTTCCTGGACTTCATGCTCTAGGAATCCCTAAGGGTGGCTCTTAACACCTTTCCTCACCTTGACCTGGATGACTTTTTTGCTTTTGAGGCTTCCTCAACCTTCCCTGGGCTTCCAAGGGCCCGGGGCCAGCAGGGTGGAGGCCGGTCCGATCCCAAAGTGGCCTTGGGACACCGGGAAGGTGGTCAGGGCTGAGGAGTCTCTTGGGTTGGGACTCTCTCTGCAGACCCCTACGTGAAGATCCACCTGATGCAGAATGGCAAGAGGCTCAAGAAGAAGAAGACGACCGTGAAGAAGAAGACCCTGAACCCCTACTTCAACGAGTCCTTCAGCTTCGAGATCCCCTTTGAGCAGATTCAGGTGCTTAAGCCTCGAGGGCCTTGGGCTCTGAGCTCACCAGACAAGCATGGGGAGGTAGAGGACAGCTGTGGAACAGCTGTGCTCCTGTGGGAGCGGATCTGAGTCCGACAGTGCTGGGGTGGGACCCTGGAGAGGACTTTCCTGAAGGGCCCCCATTATCTGAGGAGATGAACGTGAACTATTTAAAAGTCATATAGCTCCTTAATGTATGTGAGGAACACTTGTGTTTTTATTGTGTGTCCACTGACCTCCTTAGAGGCCACTCCCATCCCATCAGGTCTTACAGTTCCTAGAGCGCTGTGCATGCTCCAGTATACCTGCTGGTAGAGATGCAGGCTGCCTTTAAAAAAAAAGTTTGACCTCCATCTCCATGTCCACTGAAACTTAACTGGAGCTGGAGCCGGAAGCCATTCCCTTCCGTATCATCTGCAGCATAGACTGACAGAGAAGCACGTATATCATGGGTTCGGGTCCCACTTCTCCTCTGAATTCCTTCCTGTCTTTGCTGCCTTGCAGAAAGTCCAGGTGGTTGTCACTGTGCTGGACTATGACAAGCTGGGCAAGAATGAAGCCATCGGCAAGATCTTCGTGGGTAGCAACGCCACAGGCACTGAGCTGCGGCACTGGTCTGACATGCTGGCCAACCCCCGGAGGCCCATCGCCCAGTGGCACTCTCTAAAGCCAGAGGAGGAGGTGGACGCACTCCTGGGCAAGAACAAGTAGGCCACAGGGGCTGGGGCCGCATGCCCCCCGAGGACACTGACAAGATCCAGAGCTATCAATACCTCAGTTATGCGACCTTAGAGGTTTCTTCATTTGTTTGCGGTGTGTCCTGTTTTTCCTTCCTTTTTCTCTTTTTAAAGACCAACTTCCTTTTGGTGGCTGCGTGAAGGGAGTCCCCTAGGAGGTGGAAGAGAAGCCTGGCTCTGTTTATTGTCCCAGGAGCTGTCCTTGTGCATGCCCCGTCCCCTCCCTCACAGGTTCACACAGGTCTCGCCCCCCAGTGAGGCCCTCTCTACTGGCGGAAAGTCGAAGCAGTTCCTGCTGTTCCTGGGTTTTGGACCAACAAAATGGTAGCACATACTGTTTCTCAGTGTCAAGGCAACACAATGGCCAACGTTGTGTGTGTGTGTGTGTGTGTGTGTGTGTGTGTGTGTGTGTGTGTGTGTGGTGTGTCCGTCCTTCCATCCATCCGTCCATCCCTGCCTGCCTCTGTCTTTGAGTCCTTCTCTTCAGTTCTGGAATGAGCCTCGGACAATGAAGCTGTGTGAAAGGAGAAATCCTTCTTCAGGGACTCCACGATGAAGAAAGCCCGCTGCCTAAGTGGGAGGCCTGTCAGCGTGTGAAGAAGGCCCAAAGCCCTGGTCAGATGCCAGAAGCTCTCAGAGTCCTGGTGAAGGGCCATTTGGAAGGCGGCACGATGTGGTACTGGATGTGTTCAGCACTAGGACCAAAGCCCTTCATGCCATCAGAGACTTCCCCCGTCAGTCATGGCTTCCCCCAGGAGTGTGGTTTGGGGGACATTCATGGAAACAAACTATTCACTGGATTGGTTGGACTCTACCAGGGACTGCCCGCCCCAGGAATGCATTCTTGTTGACAGCATCCAACGATGAAGAAGCAGGAGTCCCATTACCCAGAAAGCCTAGAACGGAGCTCCTGGATCTTTGCCTCCTCCAGTGGGAGGCAGACGCTTCCTCCCTCTGCGGAGTGCAAGGGTACCGCGTCATTTACATTCACGCACTGTCTTGCTTTTGCTTCTGTTTCTCTTTATGTGTAAGTGGAGAAATCCTGTCTTGAAGCCAAGCACTCTGCACAGAGCCAGAGACCTGGGAGAGGAAGCCTTGAGTGGTTAGGCCCCTTGAGGTCCAGGTAAGGAGGAGATGGCAAGGAGGGGAAGCGTGGACGGCTAGTGAGGAGCTCGCAACTCCTATTCCTGACGCCCTGGGCCCAGGGGCCTCCTCCGTGATGGCAGCTGGAGGGACCCAGGCAGAACTGTGGCTGGGCCCCATCCTTCCATTCCCTAGAGGCACTTTTCTCTGAATGTCAGGAAACAGGGCATTCATTTCCAATGAGTGCTGGAGGGAACCTGCTAAGGTTTCTACCCTGTGTTCAGCGTACCCTTCCCGATCCCTAACTTGTCCCCAGTATTGATAAAAAGCCATATATATGTTCGTCAGGCTGGCACTGAGTAGCCTTCCAAACCTTCAGCCTGGGTAGGGAGTTAGCCCCCACGTAGCCAGAGGCTCCTCCTTTCCCGGCTTGCTTCCCTTGAACCTCTCAGGCCCTGTTTGCTTCCCACAGAGAATACACAGCTTCCAGGAAGCCTGGGGGAGGCCACTCTTCAGTAGCAAATGTGGCAGGACTTGGCTCTGCCCATCCCGTCCTTTCCGCCTCTCTTAGGTCTGATGGATGGTGTGGTAGTTTGGAGAGCCCAGCATGAAGAAGGTGTCTCTTAATTTTAATGAAAATGGGAGATATGTGGGTTTGCTTTGCTTTGGGGTCTAAGTAGGGAGTGAGTTAACACCTCTACCAGAAACAGACTGTGAAGTGAGGTTTGGCCTGCCTATCTTAGGCCCTTGGTACATGGGAAGTTCTGTACTCTATACACTCTCTCTGTGTGTGTATCCTAAACACAGAAGGGCAGAGGACTCTCACAGGATTATGGGCTGTAGTCCTTGGGACCAGAGGTATGGTCATGATAGAAAATTGTAGGACAATAGGGTACACTCAGAGTCCAGGTGCTTGAAGAGTACCGGGGTCCTGATTTGGACATTGGAAGTGTTTTCTCTCCCCAGAGCTGTGGAACTTTGGTGCTTTCCCAGGTCCCTCCCTGCACTGGCTCTTCTCGCCCCCGCATTCCATAAACCTCATTCACAGGAACTCCCTTGCCTTTTCTTCCTGCATTCTTCCAGCCCTCCCAATCCACCTTTTAACTCCTTGGCTTCTCTCTTGTGAACCTCCTTCATAGTCCATAGTCCTACCGCACTGCTCACCGAGGAGGAAGGAACGGTCCCTGTGGCTTTAGTGTCCCCGGCCTTACAGACGGGCTGCAGCTCATTTCTGTGGGCAGCCCCTGGGGCTTCTTGACTCTGATCACTAGTTTGGAGCCAGCATGGATTGCCGGGAGTGGTTCCTCCCCAGGCCTAGGGCTGGTCCCTTACTAGCCACCCAAGCAGATGGCACCTGTCCAAGTGCAGGAGCCAGGCAGGAACATGTTGAGGCTTCAGTGTTCCTGCACCAAGGGGCTGATGTGACCCGAACTCCAGCATAGCATTCCAAACCTTCACTGCCACGGGGGTTTACTTCTGGAATGCCAGGGTGCTGGGGCATCAGCATTAAGTCCAGATAGTCAATGTTTCTGGGCTGGTGAGGGATTCTGGGTACTTCTGGGGCTGGAAGTTTTCAACCCAAAGAGAGGAAAGTACTTTTAGAGTTGGTTTTTCTCCCCAAAAGAGAGCTTAAGACCATGAAAACCCAAACCCAATCCTACTCAGAATCTGGGGGTGCATGTCCTCCCTGGATGACTCTCCCAGAACAGGAGTAAGCTCTGGGGTGCTGTGGGCAGCTCCAAACAGCAGGCGCTTGGGTTGAGGAGTAAGGGTGAGGCCCAGCCAGAGACCCCGATCTTCTTTCTCCCCAGGAAGCCAACAGAGATTATGTCTCTGCAGAAGTGTTCTGGGACATTTTGCTGGCCCGCGGTTCAGTGAGGAAGGTGGGAGGGTTTTACTAGAGGCTTCTTCGTAAAAGTAGCTTTATAAACATGCCTCCATTCTACTCGGAAGGGTGTGTGTGTGGGGTGATAGCGAAGAAGAAGAAGAAATCCCTGCCCCTTTGATGTCATATGTCAGTTCTTAAGAATCCCGGGTCCCCCAACTCCGTAGGAGAGCCCATCTTTGAGGGCGGACACAGCGGCAGTCTCCCCCAAGTTAGGAAGACTGGACTCCCCCCCCCTCCATCCTCTGCACGCCTCCTGCTCTGCCTTGCCCCCACCGCAGGCTGGTTGGGGTCTTTGTCAGAGCCATGGGTAGCAGCAGGTGGCCCAGAGCCCCATAATGGCTGCCAGATTTGGCAAATACAAATACAGGAGGCTTGGTTAAACTTGAATTTCAGATAAACAAATAATTTTGAAGTATGTCCTATGCAATATTTGGGACACACTCTACTATAGAGTGATTCATTGTTTAATGTGAAATTTAAACTTAATTGGCTTGTCCTGTATTATGTTTGGCGCTGTACCCTCCGGCCAGTCCATCCCTCTTTTTCTTCAGTCCCGGGGGCTAGAGGTTGGTTACCACAGATTGGATTTAACCTGTTTTTTGAACTGCAATATTGAAAAGGGGACACTGTGACTTGAAGCTATATGAATATACTTTATTTTTTAAGCAACAACAAAACAGGAAACTTCTGAAGCCATTGAGCCTCATCTGACCCCTCCATGTGCATTTAGTTATATATTATAAAAGAAGATGCTATCTATAAACCTATGAGCAGAATCTTGTTTAATCAAGATGCATGTCTACAATTCTGTAAATAGCCGCATGGCAATGCTGAGCGTCCCCTTGATCTCCCAACCCCAAACCTGTTTTACAGAACTGGCTGCTCCTTGATTTTATGTTGTGTAAAGTCTTTGTCCTCAGTCCCACCCTACGTCCGCTACAGGGAATGTCCAAAATGGGAGACAACGCTCTGGCCCCGGTGCCAGCCTTGCCCGGGGAAGACGCTGGAGGACACTCGCCCCGAGGCAGGCCTGCTACACGTCTGTCTGCAAGGCTCACCCTTGGGGCACAGTGCACTGTGTATGGCCTGTGTCCGGTGTCCTGTTGCTTTTATGTTCCATGTGTGTGGCGTGGTTCCTTTCTCCCCACTGTCTTGAATAAACTGAAAAGCCATAAAGGGGCCTCCTGCTGGAGGCTGCCCCTGACTCCTCCCAGGAGAACCCCCGTCCCTCCAACTGGCTCCCCACAGAAAACTTGTGAAGGGCTCACCTGTCCGTTACCCTCTCTTGCTCCTTTAGCTCGGTGTCGTGAGGACAGATGGTGTTTCAGGGCTTCTGGTGGGGTCCCAGGAGATGCCCCTGGCTGCCTTTCTCGGCTTAGGTCTGATGGTGGGACTCAACTCAAGCCTGGGTAGAGGCAGGGCAGCGGTGTGACTCTGTGGCTTAGATACCATCTTCTGAGGAGCAGTCAGAAGCCTAGCCTGTAGTCCGGGGTGAACAAGGCTAGCCCAGCCTACTTCTTCCTGAGCTGTCAGGGCCCCCAGAGAGCAGTGGAGGAGCGACCCGTGGGGAACACCGAGGGCTGCCGTGGGTTAGACTTTCCGCCCGCACCTCCTCTTTGGTCTGGCAGTGCCACAGGAGCAGGGTGGCCCTGCGAGCAAGGTGGCAGGTGTGGTGATGAGGGGTGACTCGGAACAGGGAACCCTAGGCTCTGACCCTCACATTGGCTCCCAGGGCAGCCTGAGCAGGCATGCAAGTGGTAACCGTATGGGTAGAGAGAACAGGAGGAGCACGGGCACCCACAGGGCTCCCCAGGAGGGCAGTCACAGGTTACTAATCCAGGGGACCTCGGGCAGAGTTGGGCAAGTGTACTGGGCAAAGCCAGAGGCAACAAGGGGACTCGGCCATTTCCAAACCATGCTGCTTGAGCACGTGCAAGTCCCAGGGGCCTTTGGTCTACTGGCATGAAGGACAGGGCAACAGGAGCGACCATTTCAGTGCAGACTGGGGTTGGCTGGAGTGTCCCCCCGCCCCCCCCCACTCTCCACAGAAACAGAAACTGGGAACAGCGGCAGGAGAGTTTGGCAAGGTGGTGGGAGCAGTGTGAGGGGCCTCAGTTTCACCCCAGCTTTCCTCAGCAGCCAGGAGTTTAGGGAAATGACCTGGAAGTCTGACCACCCTTCCTGACTCCTGTTCATCTAAGGACTTGATCAGCTTTCTGAAAACCCTGGGCCCGGGAACTTTCAAAACCGGGGCTGGGGCAGAACCTAGGTGTGCCCACGCCCCCTCTCCCCCTGGAATGCACTGGCCCCACCAGGAGCCCTCCCTGTCTTCATAAGAAGGCCACGTGTAGCCCTGCCCTCCCCCACCCTGCTTGGCAGTGCTCTCTCCATCCCTGTGTGGACTCTGTTCTTGTCTGATCTCTCGTCACATTGTTATTTTGTAACGAGCTGCGTCTCCTTATTAAAGAAACGAGCTGAAAGCAACCTGGGGGCGGGGAGCATTTCTACTTTTTTTTTTTACTGGGGAGGGGAGAGTTGTCCACGTGGGTCAGCAAGGTTGGGGAGGGAGGTGAGCTGGTTTTGGGGTCCTGGCCCATTCTCTTCCGGGTTCAGGGGAAGGGCAGGTGGTGTTTCTGGTGGGTGGTGTGTACACGGGGCCCACCCCCCTGGGAGGACAAGGGCTGTAGTCCCACAAGGATGAGCTCCCTCCAGAGGACCCGAGCTTAGGGGAGAGCCACAGTCTGACCCTGACAACGGGGGGGGGGGGGGGGGGGGAGCTGCTGGTCCCAGGGTGTAGATGTTTAAAAAGTGGAAACTACCAAGTCCCCGATCTTGCTTTATAAAAAAAGGTTGTCTGTCTGTGACTGCTGAGGCGGGGAACCAGGGACCAGAAAGGCTTCAGAATGTTTAGGGACAGAGTAGGGGGCGGCATGGCCAAGACCAGGAAAGGATGACACTCTTTTATTCCCAGGCCCAGAGCCTGTCACTTGTCTAGGACCATCATGCACTAGACTTGTGTTTTGTGTCCGGTCCAGATGGCCAAGGGGCGGTGAAGGCGGGTGGGCAGAGCGCCCGTGTGGGCTGGCAGGTGTCTGGCTGCCTCAGTCCCGGACGGAGGCCATGGGCTAGGTGGCCTGGCTGTACAGGACCGAGAATGTGGGTACCTTGCTCTGCTGCAAGGAGGTACCAGGAAGGCTGGCACTCGTGACCAGTGGATGAAGCTGGCCCCGCAGACCTCACCCAGCCAGCAGCAGTGACGTCCGTGGTCTAGGAACCCCGTGTGTCCGGCATGTTTTTGCCTCTGCTCTAAGCCCCAAGGCCAGGGCCGAACTCTTCAAGGGTGACATCATGCCTATTTCTTCTCGCTGCTGGGTGACAGCGGGGAAAAGAATCTTCCCTCCCTCCCCAGGCAGTGACCGCGGATTTCCACTGGCAGAAAGCAGACCCAAAGCCTGGCTGCGCACCCCAGGCCTGCCAGCAGCCTGTGCAACAACTCCTGAGCTAGGCTCCTTTCCTGCGGAGTTCAGACTCCACCTCGAATGACCCCACAGAAGAAGTGAGCTTCATCTGCATAGTTTAGAACTAAGACGTGAGTTTTGGATCTCCCGATTCAGTGACCTAAGGAACCCTCCCTCACACAGTGGAGGCCCGAGGGTGGGGCTGGGAGCCTGCAAGGGCCCAGCAGCTCTCTGGACCCCGGCTTCCCTAGGTAGGATGGATGTTAGGGTCGATCAGGTGGGCCACACACCCCTGCTTTTCACCTTCAAAGAGACAGGCACCCCTTAGGCACCGGAAACCCTGATTTCTTCTCAGGACTGTTCTGAAACCTGAGGCTTTTCCTTGGCCAGTCAACCCAGGAAATCTGTTGATTGATGCTCCCAGAGAGAGACCTTCCTGAGGCAGGGCAGGTGTGACTTACAAACCTGTGGCTGCCCATGCAAAGAGACTTCTAAGTCAGTGGGAACAACTGGGGGCCGCCTGGTGAATGGGAAGGTCTGTCAGTCTCATGGCACAAAGTTAAAACACAGTTTTATTTGCTCATTTATAAATACTGATGTGTTTACAGGCATCATAGATGTGAATATTATTCCCAAACTTTCAAACACAGAACACTTAATACCATATAATAACAACCAGTAAAGCAAATCCATCCATCTCAGGGTTGAAAGGCCACTCAAAGTTGCATAAAAATACATTCAGTTCACAAAGCCAGTCTGGCTTCCCCTGCCTCAGGAGCCTCCTCCAGGTGTATTTACAGTTGACTGAAGTTAATCCACACAACTCAGCTGGAAAACAGCTCCACTGGGTGCGTGAAGCGTGGGGGAAGGGCGGAGAGAGGAAATACAAAATGCTAGCGCTCAAGTGGTGATCAGGATCAGGGAAAGGACTCAGGGAAGAGGGAAACCGAAGCCAAAGCCAGGCTCTGAACCACATGTCCCTGCAGTGGGGAGAGGCTGCCGCACATCACTCCCTCTTCAGGGAAATCTCGGCTGTGCTAAGGTCAGGCCAGGAGGAGGCCCGACCTGTTATTGAGGGCTCAAGGGATGATGACTGGTAAGGTGGGCGTGTTGGACGGGCGCAGTCTCGGAATTCTTTCTCCTGTACCCACTCCAGTGCCTCTACCTACAGTCACTTCGCACTCCCATCCTAGGATAAGCTGGAGTCCGCGGGAGGTCTCAGGAGAGCAGGGTTGAGAACAGCACAGACACATGACTTGGTGCTGCTGGCCCTGAGTGTCCCTTGTTCAGGATGCCACTCTGATCCCAGCTCTGGGCACAAGAGCATGCCCAAGGCCTCAGGCTCTTAGGACTCTCAGGGTCCAGCCTTTTCTGGATCTTCTCTCCCGCCCGGCTGAGCGGCTGTCACTACAAACTAGTCCAGCCTGTGCTGGGGAGACACTTCTGCCTTACACGTGGGGACCAATCACATCCTCAGGAAAAGACGGAATGAGTGTCTCAGACACAGTCAGTCCTGCGACGGGAATCATCCAGACCCATAAACCAAGCCTTGTCTCGGAGGGGCTTTTAAAGTGCAATGGGGCTGGATGGGTCGGTGGCGGGGGGGGAGGGAGGGGAGAGGAGACAGGCGTTTGAAAATCCTCCAGGCCTCTTGGCTGATAAATGGGAAACCTCTTCCCTTAAGCACCATGGAGTCCAAGCGTAGAAGCGAGGCCTAAGGAGTGTGGCGGAGGGGAGGGCAGGAGGGGAAGGGTCCTTATTTGGAAGGACCTGCACCACCATCTTGACACCTCAGGGGCCACCCAAGTACATTTTTATTGGAAGCAGTAGGGGAAAATTTAGAGGAGAAATAACAAAATGTCATTCTGGCAGATTCCCAAGCTGGGAGAGAGAAGTCCTTTGGGAAGTGGTGTAGGAAGAGGAAAATAGACAGAGTACACTTGGCTAAAATTGCTTTCTGAGTTCTCATTTCTAATCAAGAAAATGCCAGACCTCTTTTTGAAAGCTCCAGCCTGGCAAGTGTGTGTGTGTGTGTGTGTCCCCAGACTGGAAGAGACCCTCACATTGCCAAGTCTTCTGAGGTAAGGCCAGAACACACGTCAGTAAAGCCATGGGCTTTCCAAGTTCCCTCCTCCACCATCTACCTAGCCAGTGGGCGTCTAGGTACTGGGCTGCAAGGCACACCTCAGGACAACTGTGACCCTTAACCCCAGCTCTCAAGGAGCCATGGATACACCTTCCGGCTGCCCTCTGGTTTGTTGGGAGTCCAGTTGTTTTTCCTCAGCCCTCAGAGACCACTTCGTTCCTTTGTAGCTGTGACAGTGGCAGCTTCTGGGCGATAATGAAGTTGATCTATTTTTCCCATCTAATCAGAACACAAGCAATCAATAGTTGTCCCTGACAGAGTCGACTGCTCTGAGCAGTGTCAATACCCATTAGGAAGGCTGATTAAAATCTCCACTCAGCCTCAGCTGGAGCTGAGGGATGAACTCATGAGACAGAACGCACTTCCAGGTGCAGAAATCTGCCTTCCTTTCTCCCACTGCTTACAATCTCCACCCTGTTCCACATTCAAAGACGCTGCCTCCCCTTTACCCTTGTAGCATGCAGGCACCCACTTCCCGGGTTTGGCCCCTTCCTCACCTCCAGCCCTGACTGCAGGAGTCTGGCCAGGGCAGGGCACCATTCGATGCCATGTGGTTTGTGGCTTCTGTAAACAGCTACAAACGCAGTGTAGCATCTCTTGTGAAAGACCACCCCGGACAGCTCCAGAGCGTCCCACTTCTGAGACCTCAGCTGCCACTTCTGAGACCTCAGCTGAAGTAACAGCTGTGGTCTTCACTACAGAACACTTGCTGCTCAAGGCAGAGTTCAAAACTAGACACCAGCTGGTGCCAAGCACAATCGCAGTTGAGTCTGCTGCCTGGGTACCAAGAAGCAGTGCTGGTCACCTCTGGGAGAGGTGGCCGAGCGGCCTCCAAGCCGCAGCTGGTTCCCTAGCGACACACTGCTCTATCCATCCCCCACCAGCTCCAATCGCCACCTCTTCAGGTTGGGAACATCTTTACCTCACCACCAGGAGGAAAAGCAATCACAACATGATTCAATTGCTCTCAGCATTAAATTCTCTTTCCAACAGGGAGGAGGGGTCAGCCTTGGCATCCTGATCTTAAACAGCTTGAATTTGGGAAGAAAACAAGACTGATCTTGAAAATTTGAAAAAAAGCAGAAATCTAAGCATCAAAAAAATGTTCTCATTTTTCTAGAAATGAATAAATCACAGAATTTTAAGCTCAATGGGACCCTAAAAGATTATCTTGCCCAAGGGTTACAGCTAAATTAAGATGACCCTGGACTCCCTGTAGCTCAGCTCTGTGCACCTTGTCCTGCCCTCAAACCTGCCTCACGTCCTGGGTTGAGGGAACTATACTATTTGAGGGTTTGCACCTACCTTCAGAACAGAAGGGCAACCGAGATGTACCTATAACTAGGCATGGATCCGGGCAGGGCCCACTTCTGAAAAGGCATGGGACCATGGACTAGAGCCTCCCCATCCTGAGGGAGGACAGTCCGGAAGCAGCTGACAGATGTTTTCTAGAGACCTCTCTTCCCCAGGCTTCTGGTCACCGAGGCCTCACCTCCTAACAAGTGCCAGCACTGTCAGTACTGAATACTGGGTGGAGACAGTTGTCTCTGCTAGGAATGGCTGCCAAGGGCCTGACTTGGAGGGTTCCTCCTTCATTTCTGGTTTATGTACTCTTTCGTAGGCCCATAGACTCCACTCCTGTACTTCCTGGGCAGAAGCCACCTCATCCAACAAGGCTTGCGTCTAGAGGGCTGAGGACTGGGACGGAAGCAGGGAAAGCGGGGTGAGAACATGCCCCACCCCACTGTTGGACAGAGCCAGGAGGGTCTAGGAAATGAGAACAGCCCAGCTGAGCACTCAGTGGACTGAGTGGGCCCGGGATCGATCTGTTCTTTAGATTCTTTGGAGACAACACCTTAAATGTGCTTCACTCTTCCCCTCGAGACGGGGACTGGGAGCCAGCACTTCCCGGTGCTGTCTGGAAGGGCTCAGGAGCCCCAGAATCTCTGGACTGGCCCAGTCGTTACTCCAAAGCTGTCAAGTGGATGAGAACATAGAGTGTGATGTGTAGTGAGAACATTCCTGTCCCCATCTGAACTTCCCAGGCAGCGCGGTCTGTGACAGGGCTGAATCCTGTATGGCTACCTGCTTGCAGTGGTCCTCACGCTCCAGCTGTGAGACTACTCACAGGAAGCTACCACGGGGAGACCTCCAGTGTGAAACTGGCAAGCAACAGAGGAAAGAGACCAGCACCGAGAGTCCGGCTGGCCACCAGAGGGCCTGTGTCTTTCATGGGGGCTTTCAGTCAATGTCATTTTGAAGAGAACAGATTCACTAATAAAATTAGTGGCCTAAAAAGAAGTGCCTGGAATTACCTATGATCACTTGTACTATGGTAAGTTCTTGGCTACAGAGTCCAGTACTCCTGAGACTGAAAAGCTTATAAATAACTTGCCTTCCTGGCAAGAGGTGGCGTCTTAACATGGAAAGCCACGTACAGCAGCAGGCATTAATGCCAGTTTGTGAGTTTTGAGAACCTGTCCTGACACTTCAAAAGTCCCACAGGCATAGAACTCTGCAATACCTTTTCCTGGTCTACGAATGGAAGAAACTCACAATGTTTTCCTAACATCTCATTTTCTTTTCTTAAGGACAAGGCAGCAATCCCCAGTATCCTAGCCACTCCAGGACAATCAGTTGGCTAACACTTTGTTGACATTTCCCGGCAAGAAGAGAATGCTTCCTATACAGAAGACAGGTCCTTCTCACTGTGGCTCAGTCCTCTCTAAGACCTGGGCTCAGTGCTCCATAATAGAGTGGGTTGAAATGGAAAAGAGAATCTTGTATGTGCTCCAAGTGTGTCAGAGTGAGCATGGTCCTCTTCTGTAACTGGGACCCTGAATGACAACTTCTGTTTAAGAGCACGTGAAGTCTGCAAGGGCCACAGAAAAGGACAGTGCTGTCCTCATGAAAGAAAATAACAGAGGTAGTGTTAGAATGGTCCGCATCACTGGCAACCCCAAGATAATGAGGTTTTAAGGACCTGTCCTTTAATGTGATCCAAAGGACAAAATGCCTACGGAAATCAAGCATTATCCCCATCAACACTGGGTCATCGATGAGAACTAGTTCTTTAACTATGTGCTGGAATCATGGGATACTCTAAAGACTGAGACACGGTAATCTAAAGGGCTGCTTGTGCCTAGATTCTAGGGGATGGTAGTCAAGATGTGACAAGCATCAAAATCATGACATCTGAGGAGGACTGAAGGGACTAGAGAAGTAGAGACCACCACCCATCCATATTTAATGTGCTGGGCAGGCAGGGAGCAGGAGACCTCAGCTTCTGTTATAAAAACTCTGGTTATTAGAGAGGGCCACCCTTCAAGTAATAAATGCACAGCCACCAAAGGCTGACCACAGGTCCAAGCTATGGTAGCAGAGGGGGTCCCAGAAACACAAGGCAGCTGGGCCAGATGTACGAGCCTTGCTACTCTTAAAGAGTCTGAGGGGCTGGATGCACGTCGGCCTCTTTGTCTCTCCCCAGCAGTCATTTCTCCTGTCCGCTTCCAGGAAGGGCTCGCTCTCTCTCCCCAAATGTGACTGCTGCCACCTCACAGCCTAAGCCCAGCGTTCCAAGTGTCCTTACATGCTCTCCAGCCCGTTTCCATCCCTAGTCTGGCTCCCCCCTCACTCTCCTCCAGGCCTCCTTGAACAACTCGTTCCTCATGAGGAGCATGTGCACAAGTGGACAAGGAAACAAAGCCACAGGAAGCCAGGCCAACTCAAGTCTTCAGAAGCCACACTTCCTTCTTCTTGAGAGGGTCTTGCTATGTAGCTGGCCTCAAATTCTGATCCTCCTGCCTCAGCTTCCTGAGTGCTGGGATTATAGGTGTATACTACTATGTCTGACTTGAAGAGTCCAGAAAATCACTTTGTGAGCAGACAAGTGGGAGATGTGAACTACGGGCTGACCCTTCAGCCATCCTCCAGCTTTGCTGGGACAGGGGTCATGGGTCCAAGGCAGCAGTGATGATTTTCCACAATGGGCCAAAACAGCTGAGGTCAGGAGCTCTGTTTCAGCTTTATGCCATCAGGCTGGGTGGAGAAATCATAAAGAGACAGAAAGAAAAGGAGCAAGAGAGTCCGGGGCCATCTAAGCCGTGTAGGAAGGGGGAAATGGGGTTCAGACTAGCCAGGGCAGTTCTAGCTTATTGATAGAAAAGTTAAAACAAGTCAGTCCCTGAGAGGTGAATATCAGAGTCACAATCACCTTGGACTCTACACAACAGCTCCAGAGGCAGTCCAGAGAGCAACTCCACACTCTGTCCTCTCTCCTGGCACCCCAAAAAGGATCCTGGGGGGGCCACCACAAGACTCACCTATATCAAAGGACAGCGGGTCAGTGTAAAGGCTATGGGTCAAAGCCTTACATTTTGTACCGAAACCAATGTGGACAAAGCAGCAGAAAGTTGGGGGTCCACAGCTGAGCTTAGTGAAGCCCCCAAAGCTTTCTCCAGACTGCTTGAAATGGTCACAATCATGCTTCAGTTAAAACTGTCAGAAACTTGGGATAGAGGTGCGGGGGCAATGGGACACAGAGTGCAGAGAAATGTACAGTGCAGAGTGCAGAGGAGGTGACCGACGAGGACCAGAAGGGAGGAGCTGGGAAGGAAGGGTGGGCAGCAATGTGTCCCCTCCTCCAGATCTGACCTCCTCTATTTGGACAGTTTGCTGATGACTCTGATCAGGGCACCATTTTCGTCTTTCAGCCTCTGGTTGTCGGACTTCAGCTCTGTTAACACCTGTGGCGACAGAGGGGAGATGGGGTTAGAGCCTGGCACAATGGCCCTACCTGCCCAGGCTGAGCCCAGCAGGTGAGCAGGGCCCCCTGAGACGGCTGTGATCAGTTGTTACTATCCTTTTGCTTAGGGATAAACCCCCTCGGTCTTCCTATTTACTGGGCTGGAAATGTAAGTATCTGGGGAAAACCCAGCTCCTCGTGGTCTCTAAGCCAGCTTCCCATTCCACATAGCCTATAGTTCTAGTCTACTGAGACAGTAGCTACCTGCAATTGTTCCTGCCCTTGAACTCACCTGTGGCCTAGAGAAACTGGGGAGACTGCCCAAGTATGCTGGGGAGGGCACAGGGGAGGAGTTCAGCAAGGAGTCAGAGAGACAGTGACCTTTGAGAGATGAACGCCTCTGCTTCCCACCCCATAAAGAACCAAATGCAAGCCGAGGAACAGAACTTGGCCTTTCTGCCACATGCCAAGATGACCTAGGTCATCCTGGTGCCTTTGGTAGCTAGAATCCATCCGAATTCTCATTGGTCATACTGTACACACACCTATTTTCAACATTAACATCCAGGGAACTGACAGATATGGCCAAGACCCAGGGGGCTTTCCCAGTGCTTCGGTGGACGGTGTTAGAATAATTCTGGCAAACAGAGGCTTATGGAAAAAGGGATGGAGTAAGATTCCATCTGTCAGTTCTTCCACTTAGAACACAGCACATACTGTTGCTCAACTCAAGGAATACAGGAAGAGCGAGTTCCAGCTTGGATACCCAAGTCTTTATTATGTGATCAGGCACTTTGACAGACATTCGGTATATCTGAAAAATCTTAATGAGGTACAGTTCCTGGGTGGGCCTTGCTGGGAGATTGGGGTTAGACGGTAAATACATTTTCACAACGAAGGCTCCAGGAATCTGTATCCTCATTGTCATGCAGACACCCTTTCTTTCATTGATCAGTCATTTCAACCTTCAGGATCCAGACAGTAAGCGAGGCCTCCAGAAAAGGGTGGCCTGGGCTCAGGAATCATGGCCATGTAGTTCAAGCTCTGACAATTGCTATTAAACTAGAGAATCTATAATGCACCTGAAGAAATATGATCTTTGTTTCCCCAACCTCATGAGGAAGATACATTATGCAATCGTGTGCAAGTGTGTGTGTGTGTGTGTGTGTGTGTGTGTGTGTGTGTGTGTGTGTACACACTCCCAAAGCCCAAGTCAGAGAACAAAGGGAAAACAACACCTACAATGTAGGGGGTTAGAAGGTCTCACTGGCACCTCAGGAGCCTGTGCTGCGGCTGTCCTTGTCTCTATAAATGAGGGAACAGACGGCCATCACTCGTCCAGGGCAGCTAGCTAGTTAAGTGTTAGTGATGACATTATACCCACGTGTGATCAAGTCCACAGAAACAAATTCAGGAGTGGTCATTCTCAATGATCCACAGTGCTTTTGTCAAGAGGTTCTCAACCTGTGGGTCACAACCCCTCTGGGAGGGGTGTCAAATAGCCCTTTCCCAGGGGTCAGATCAGATATTTACATTAGGACTCATAACAGTAGCAAACTTAGAGTTCTGAAGTGGCAATGAAATAATTTTATGGTTGGGGGTCACCACAGCATGAGGAGGGTTGAGAACCCCTGCTTTAGTTAGACAAACCACTTCTCTGTATTTCTGTGTTGGTAGCTAAAAGAATCGTAACCGCCCCGCTCCCGCACAGATGGGCCTCTGAGAGGCTGACAGGAGTAAGAGATGTGGAGGCACCAGTGTCTGCAATGGGCTTTGCAATACTGGGGATCCTGCTACCACTCAGTTTCCCCGGAGTCTGGAAGAGCGGAATGGATTCTGAGGAACTAGAAAACAGCTTGTCTTTGACCCTGTCTTTCCTCCAGCTCACGGCAGCTTGGCTAGCCCTTTCCACGCCTCTCAGAGCGGCGTCCTCAGAGCTCTGCCTAGGCTGGCACCTTTCCTCTCTTCTCTACTGTTCCAGCTGGGGGATTGTCTGCCTGGGTGGGACTTTCAATTTAAAATTTTTTCTTTTGTATGGATGGGTGTTTTGCTCGCACATGTGTCTGTGCCCAGTGCCTGTGAAGGCCAGAAGGGTGCACCGGATCTTCTGGAACAGGACTTGCATAGGTTGGTTGTGAGACCATGTGGATGCTAGGAAATGAACTCAGTACCTCTGGAAGAGCAGCCAGGGCTCTTAACCACTGAGCCATCTCTCCAGCCCCTGAAAACCCTATTTCTTAGCAGGACCCCATAGGTGTGAAGAAGCTGTATCTAATGAGTTGTGCTCACTCACTGTTCACCAAGTTAGAACTGAGCTGCTTAAGAAAACAAAACAAAAAAACCCAAACAAACAAACAAAAAAAAAGGGACAATTTGTTAGTGTTGGTGATTTTTTTTTCCACATTAAGAACTCAATTCTTGGGGGGGCAAAAAGATGGACAAGACAAGTTCACAGCTGCAACATTTAACATCTAAAGAGAATGTCAAGTACCAGTGGCGTGCAGAGACGGAGGAAGGGAGCCCCAGACTCCACGCTCCAATGAAGGGAGTGAACAGTGCTATCTGTCCTTAAGCTAAGTTACACATGACCGTGTGGGGAAGACCTGTCCAAGCACGAGGTTTAGAGAGCGCACCCACTCTCTAGACATCAGTTTCTCCACTGCTGAATCTCTAGCCTCCCAGTTCGATGTTGACACTCAGACACAATCAAGTACATGTGTTCCTCAAGATGACTTCCTATGTATAGCCTATGATGAGGAAGGACGCTGTTAAAGACAGGGACAGGGGTCCTGAAGCCTCAGGGTGTGTCAGGGAGTCTTCCCTTTCTCTGAAGATGGAGCTGGCTGGTATTAGGCACTCAGGACTTGCAGGGGATGATTCCAAAGGGGTGAGAGTGAGGCCAAGTCTCCCCACCACACTGCCAGCTTGCCTTCGTCATCTCACCTTTCCTACCGGTGGGAGCCAGAGGGCGGGCTCTTTCTGTCGAGGGCTACACAGCAAGTACTTTGGACTAGGCTGCAGGCCACACAGCCTGCTGCTGTGCTACTTCATCCATGACTGAGGCCTAGCAGGTGTCAGAGACTGAAATGCAGAAACTCAAGTGTAAGGTTTGCTCCCAATAATTCATTTCTAGACACTGAAATCTGAATTCCATAGGAATTTTATTTGCCAAATACAGTTCTTTTGGTTTCTTTCTTCCGACTATTGGCATGGCGCATGGGTCGCATTGCCTCCCTGACTGTAGGCCATGTGCCAGGCAATGACATCACAGTGACATACTCTTTTGGCAGGTAAATGTTTTTTGGAAACTGATTTTTTTTTTTTTTTTTTTTGAGAAGGGATGTCTCTTTGCAGTTCTGGCAGTCCTCGAACTCACTATGTAGACTAGGCTAGCCTGAAACTTATAGAGCTATGCCTGCTTGCCCTCCCAGTGCTCAGATTAAAGGCATGTGCCACCACACCTGGCTGAAACTGGCCTTTTAAATAAGTCAGAGAACTGAAAAGGTAGATTTCTGGCCCTTACTCTCTGATGCAATGCTGGAGTTGCTTAATGAATGGTTAAGCCTGCAAATATACAGATGGTTTGTGTCACGCGGTGTGAGTGCAGATCCTGGAGTCTAACAGTGTTTCAATTCTTGTTCAACCATTTACTTCCCAAGGGACTTGGGCTTGTTTCTGATTCTGTAACCGGCTTTTAAAAATGTATACAATGGTGCTGAGGAACCAATCAGAAAAACATACAGCACTCAGCACAGGCTTTAATAAAAGCCAAGCATTACAGTTATTAATCACTGAAAGGATGAGATCTAATTTTGCCCCATATCCTACATTGTCTTGCAACAAATTGGGAAAACAGAAATAACTGGGACTTTGGGGGGCCTCTACTTTTCCCTAAGTCAAAATTTCCTAGAGTGTATGTATCTACCTGTGTGCATGCATGCTAGGACTGAACCAAGGGTCCTGGTGCACACTAAGCACATGCTCCACCACAGAGCTACATGTTAGCATCCTTCCAGGACTTTTGAGGCTAACTCTGAAACAGCTTGGACCTCCTGCTGACTGCTCACTTCCCTGTTGTGGCGGCACACCCCTTTCCATCTCTTTCTGCCTGGGAGAGCATCTGTAGCAGGACATTAGCTCAGCCCTTACGATAATCTGGGTGCTGCAGTACTAGCGGGTATTCACTGCCAGCTGCTGATCCTAAAGGCAAATGCAAATAGGCAGAAAAAAGGAGAGGCTCCAGTCAAGACTAATTAGATCGTCGCTGAAAATCAAGAACTCATTTCAGGGAAGTGGTGACCCCGTCACACTACCTTGGGATGGGGAAACAAACTGTGTGTGAGCTTGTCTTTCAGATCCACAGCCAGAGGTAGGTTCTAGTTTGCCAAATCATTTTTTTTTCCAGGCGCAGTTTTCAGTTGAAAATAAATCCTGCTCTGCTCCACTGCTTACCATCTCCTTTGCAAAGCCAAGCCCATTAGAAGGCTTGTTTATATCGCCTACGTTCGGCCTCCAGGCCCACATACTCAGGGCAGGGAGGGCTACATCCCCAGAGCCAGGAGATTCGGGAGGGGAATGAGACAAATGTTTTGGAAAGAGGAGGATGAAGGCAAAGACTTACAGAAGGAGGCGAAGAATGCTTGTCTAACTCTGTCCCAGTGGTGAGGAGGAGGAGGAGGTCTCTGCTAGCGGCAGAGGTGGGGTCAGGGGAGCCTAGCCTTTCGGCCCAGTCCTTTCCATCCAGCAGCGCTGCCACTTGTGGGGATTAAGTTCCATCTGGTATTCAGTGGGCTGTGGTTCTCTACCATGGTCACACATACACCAACAGAGGAGCTTTAGAAAAATACTGATGCCCAGGTCTCAATCCAAGTAACAGAGCATTTGGAAAGGGCCCAGACGCGGTGTATAGTAATGGCTCCCAGTTGGATCAAACATGCAGTCAGGTTTGAGAATTCTTGCCCTCAGTTATCCCAGGCCCTAACTGGTACAGGTGCATTTGGGCTGCTGTTAGCTGAGAAAGCTCTCTCTCAGGATGACAAAGACCCCATCAATGAAATAGATATGTGTACATGTATGCACACAGGCAAATATACACAGCTGTGTATCTATGTGCAGCTGAGGAAGCAAATCTACATTCAGTCTCTAGAGGAAGAGAAGGTAACGCGGCAACTTTAACATGACACTCCGCTTGCCCAGAGAGGTCTCCCCACTGTCACCCTTGCTTATGTCCCATTAGATGGTCTGAGTCCTGCTCCATCTCCAGGTAACAAAGTTTTACAGATACCTGGACATGGAGGCTCTGATGGAAGGGGTAGGTACTGGACTTCTGGGACCAACAAGGAGAGAAAACCTGCCTGGAGAAGTGGAGGAGGGAAGTGAGGTGGAGAGGGAGGCCATAGCTAGAGCGCCTGGGTGTCCGAGGACTCGATGGACTTGGAGAGTCTGGCCACCACTCGGGTCAGGGCCCTGTTCTCAGCCTGCAGTTGCTCGTTCATCTGCTTCAAGGTTTGAATCTGTTTTAGCTGGTGAAGGTTCTGCAGAGAGTGAGACATGAAGGAGACAGACGAGACAGAGACAAGACAGAGCAGAGGAGAAAAAGTAGGACAAAGAAACTCCGTGACTTTTTGTTTTTGTTTTCAGTTTGCATGCAGGAAAGGAAATGGGAAAGGCAGTAGTGAGGACAGCGAGCTGTACAGACAGGGAGGGAGGGGATGCAGCAGGGAAGAGCAGTGTCTGTGGTTCCTGGATGTGCCCTCAGCATGCTGCGATTGGCTAGACAAGCATCAAAACCCACACGTGGGCCACTGGGGAGTGAGAGGCCACCGTATGGCCGGCTTGGGGCCTTCTGACAGTCACATGCAGAGCTGCAGCCTTGGGGACGCTCTTTCACTGTCGCTGGGACTGGAGCCGAGGATTCCGAAATCTAAACACCACCCTTTCTCCCTTCCTTTGTCTTGGCCTCACACTTGCCCCATCCCTATTTGTTTCTTCCTGTTCTTCTCTTCATTTATTACTTAACTAAAACAATACAAGAGGGGCATTTTCCTTAAGCACGTTCTGCATAGAACATGTATTATTTAGAAGGCTGATATGACACCTGCCAGCTCTTTGGGTAGACCTGTAACATGACTGGAAGGAAGCTTAATTAACCTTCCCAGTTCTCAATAGCACACAGAGCTTGTTCAGGGTCCTGCAACAGCCAGCTGGCTTCTACCTGCTATACATGATTATATGTATCACTGAGTTCACGGCTAACTCTGTGCTCTCTGCCCTAGTTCATGTCATGGCTAGGAGCTGCTTAAATATGCTCAAACAGACATGCACTCTGGGAATCATAAATGCCAGGTGATGATGGAGCTGGCTGGATCACTGTGGTAGTCTAATCCCACCTGTGCATCAGTGTTACAAATGAACAGGATAATGGGTATTGACAGTCTTCCCAATACCTGATAGTTCACAAGTGCCTTGAAGACTTCAATAAAGTGATTGCGGCACAGGCCTGCCAACTCTGCTGCATGCCTTCCTAAGGCGTGAACTGACCTTGAAACAGATGATCAGCTCTTCTGGAAAAGGGAAACGATTATATTATGCAAACAGGGGTTGGGTTATAGTGAGGCCTGAAAGAGAGGTGCCAAGTATCAGGGGAGTCTCTCAACTCCACAGTGAGAAAGGGCAGGAGTGGGAGATTAGTGGGCAATGGTTTGGGAGTGAACCAGCAAGAAAATGAAAGGAGCATGAGAGACAACAGTGAAAAGGAAAAACAAGCAGAGACAAACTGCTGGACAGCTTTGTCCAAAGATGAAGAATGACTCTCCCCCTGCCAGAGAGTCACCAGGCCATCCTCTGCTGACTGTCAGCATCCTGACCATGGAGGGGACAGGTGAGAGAGATCATAACAGCACACGGAGTCGTTTAAAGACATGAGCAAGGACCAAATTTAAGAACCACAGAAACCCCCTGGCTTATGTCCTTCACTGTGTTGACATCTGATAAAGCTTTCAATACACTCCCTGTCATTATATGAAGTGGTCTTTGCCTCCCAGGGACATTACTGCAATGAACTAGGAGAGCGACCTAGTCTACCAACTGAACACGCGCAGCTCCAGGTGGAAGAATCTGGAAGCTATCAGTCTGACGGAGAGAGGTAGGAAGCAGTCTGGTGGGATGTTCTGTAGGAAGCAGTCATGTAAACGAGCATGATAAGGAGGTGAGAAAGGGAAGGGCAGAGCACGGGCAAGTTGGCTAGTGGTACTTCAGAGTAAGCAAAGTAGGATCCCAGAAGCAACTTCCAGGGGAATGGCTGCTGGGCCCTCCTCATGCAAGGGCTTGGGGAAGGACCGGGTTAGGTCTAGCGAGGAAGCAGAAGCAGAAAGTAGTCCGACTGGATATGGACATCCCAAGACAAGTGCAGAGCCAGCTCAGCTCACAGACATGCACACCTGTCAGATCTGTCAGAGATTCTATTCCAACCCGGAGGAGTGGAGTTTCTCCTGGGGAGGATTCATACTTACCTTTCCAGGCAGAGACCATGCCCACCTCCCAACCCACACCAGGGAGCCCATCTCACGCCTCCCATTTCCCTTGACCTCTGTGTTTTGTTGGTGTCACTTTCTGACTTGAGTGCCTCCTGATCCTTCAAGCATTCACGGAGTCACCCCCACAGATAGCGCCCTACTGAGGCTCCAGGAAAGCCTGAGCTTCTGCAGTAATGGGGATGTGCACAAACGCAGAGCAGCTGGTCCCAAGGCCACTAGATGCCACATCTGCTAAGGTTTCCCAGACTTGACGAATACACCATTCACCGACTATCTTATGTACAAAGATCTTAGTCACTAGTCCTTAGAAAAGTTGCTCAGCACAAATGATAGCCTAAATGAAGACCTTGAGAGATAAACAACCATTTTCTCCAACTCCTTTAGAGCAGACACACCAATTTCATAATATAGCTGTGAATCTGGAGAGGTTACAGACAGAAGCTACCATTCCCCCATAGTCCTTTAGAGGGAGCTAGACAATTTGCAATCTAGAATATTATACTAAGACTGAGCAAATTATGTTCAGGGGCAACACAGTTTTCAGGCACTTCTTCTCCATATGGCTTTTTAAGTAGCAGTAGTAAATAATGGGGACTGAGTGATAAGGTGGATTTTTAACAAAGTCTCAAAACAGCTTATTACTGATTTGAGGACCAGTAATGATCTGGTTCCACTTGATAATTAAAAAATTTCCCCCTTTATGTGTATGGTGTCTTGCCTGCATGTATGTCTTTGCATCACATGTGTGTAGTACCAGAGGTGGCCAGAAGAGGGCACTTGAACCTCTGGGATTGGAGTTATAGATAGTTGCCAGGTGGGTGCTGGGAATTGACCACAGATCTTCTGGAAGAGCAGCCAGTGCTCTTAACCTCTGAGCCATCTCTCCAGCCTCTTAAACAATTTATCTTTAAACTTGTTGGTAAGTGACTTCTGATTAGAAAGAATAAATATTTTCATGTGTTGCTATCTCTATTGAAATATTGAAGAAATGAATTCATGGCCTAGTTTTGAAATCCACAGCTTGATAGGATAAGAACATAGAAAGAAGCATGCAAACCTGTGTCAACCCAAAGGATTCAGAGCAACTAAGAACACAGAAGAACTTCTGTCCTTGCCAGTTTAGAACGGAATAGAAGTAAAAGCCCAAACTCCCCCTTTGAAAAGTCTTTGTGTGGGTCCTGTATGGCACAAGGTGTGCACGGCCTGTCTATGGGATTCCGGGTACTCATGGGAAGTGTGAGCGTTGGCCTGATTTATATGCTCCAGAGCAGCATTTAGGTCCTTTCTTTCCATTCCCAGCATCTCTCTCTCCCCACCTTTTCTTTGAGACAGCATCTCATGTATCCTATGCTGGCCTAGAACTTGCTATGTAGCCAAAGATGACTGTGAACTTCCATCCTCTATCTCCTGAATACTGGGGTTACAGGTATACACCACCATGCCTGGTTTATGGGGTCTGGAGGATCAAACCCTGGGCTAATTGCATGCTAAGTAAGTACTTTATCTACTAAGCTACATTCTTAGGCCCTTCATTTATTTATTTTTTCCCCAAGACAGGGTCTTTATGGAGGTAAAGCTGGCCTTGAACTCACAGAGACTGCCTGTGCTTCCCAAGTGCTGGGATTACAGGTATATGTCACTATACCCAGACATAGGCTTTAATTAAAAATATTTACGTAAGTATTAATTTATGGGTATGAGTATTCTGCCTGCACATATATATGCACACAGTGTATGTGCCTGGTGCCCACAGAGGTTGGAAGAGGGCATCAGATCCCCTGGAACTGGAATTGCAGATGACTGTAAAACAACATGTAGGTGCTGGGAACCAAATCCGGGTCTTCTGCAGGAGCAGCAAGCGCTCTTAACCACTGAGTTCTCTCTCTATCTCTCTAGCCCAGGCCATTTCTTACTAAGCATCACTGACAGCTGTCTAACCGCAGAGAACAGATGGTAGAGCTGGGGTTTCAGATGGGAAGCCCTCATGCACACAGAACTGTCTGTGTGCAGTCATGAAGAACTGTTTGGCAACATGAACACACTGCGTTAAGAGGAAGAAAATACGTCTGTGAGTTGGTGGGTTTGGGAAATCTGGAAGATGGAGGAAACATTCATTCAGTGGTGTCTGTGAGGGCAGTGTTCTGTGTCCTCAAGAGAACTGAACACTATTTCTACTTCCCACTACTTTTGAGTCAACCCGGGAACTTTAAAGCGTTTGAGGGGTAAGTAGTAATTGCTTCATCTTCTACATGACTATTACCAGTCCCAGCCATGGGTTGGTGACTAGGAAATGAGGGGCAGGACTTGACGGTTTCCCTCCACTCTACAACTCTGAGGGGTAACAGGATTGTGAATTCAGGATCTGGTAAAACCACGACCTTTGACCTGATTAGGCCCTGAAAACTTGGTGTGTGGTGGTGGGGTATACATAAATAAACATCTTTTTAAACCATTAAAACAACTGTCTCTTAAAAAGTAATCAAATTGTACACCAGAGATGCTTATTCACAACCGAGGACATTTGGAGATTTGTCTGAGGCTGTCCCAGGGTTTCTGCTTCTTAGCTATAGAAATTTACATCTGACTTGGCTTTACCTATCCACCAAAATAAGATCCTTGATGAAAGGAAAAAAGCTGGGCAAGTACTGAGGGACTTTGGCCATGTAGCACAATGTCCTGCAGGGATGAGCTGCTCCAATATCTTAGACAGGCTACCTGAAGCGGGCTCACATTCCTTCCAGCCCCTATCTTCCCCTCCTCTAGCAATGGGCTGACAACAAGATTGGCAACAGGCCGTCCAAGCAGCTAAAGGAGGTGACGGTCGTTGCTGGTCTTCCTGAGAAAAGGCAGGCCGTGAGTCCTCAGGGGGGGCACATGGGAGCATGAGTTGGCAATAGTGGGTGAAGGCCAAGAACTGAAGTACTGCAGAGGAAATGGCCTAGGACGGGAAATCAATATGCAAATACACCTCACACTGCTGTTCCATGACTCAGCTTGTGTTCCTCCTGCAGGGGCTGCATACAGGGAGGAGGGCCTGTGGCTGGGCCTAGGTTTCATGAGCTCCCCTAGTGGGGTCTCTGCAGAGCAGGGAGAATTTGTCCTAGCCCTTCCATCAGCCTCCCGAGGGAGAAGCCACTGCTTTGAAAACCTCAGACGTTGAACTTGGTCTCCTCATAAACCAGCCGACTGCTCCTAGAAGGCATCTGAGGTGGCCACAGGGGATGCAGCATGAGCTGAGAGAGCCTAAGAGATGGCTGAGAAGACGTGCTCACTTCCTCGAACACATCATCTCCTCTGAGGGTGCTCAGGTGGCACTGACAGCTAGAATGGGCAAGCCTAGGCTCAAGCATCTAGTTTAGGCAGGCATACAGAGAACACACACACACCAAGACAAAGATCATCTCCGCATACCTTCATCTCTTCTTCCATTTCCGACATCTTCCGTTCCAATGCTCTCCTCTCCTGTTTGGAAACAATGAGCCTGTTGAGGAGATAATGGGCCAGGAAGCAATCACAAAGCCCCTCCCACGTGTCGCACCATCAGCAGCTTCCTGGTCTCGGGGTCTGTCTAGACCAGGGCAAACCTTTCTCTACATGCCCTCTGCCCTGCCGCCATGGGATGGAGTGATCACCCAAGTCTTCTTTCAGAAAGCTGGAAGACACAGGGCGGCAACCCGCTAGCAGACAAGCAGACCAGCATCCTGAGTTACTCCTTGCAAGTGAAAGTTTTCAAACGACTGCAAGTAACTAGGGCCCTTGCTCTAGAAACAAAAACCCCACCGTCGTTAGTAACTGCGTCCTTTATGATGGGGACACAAACACATGGTCAGTGGGGAAGGAGACATCCCTGTCTGTCTGCCAGCTTCTCCCCTCCCCCTCCATTTCTTTCCCAGCTAGTAACTCTTAATTTAGCCTGAACTCAATGAGGAGCCTTTAATTAGATGGGATACCGAGGAGTTACAGGCCAAGGGAATGAAATATAAAACATAGCCTTTTCCAAATTAGACAAGAAAGATGGTAACATACTATATTCTTAGAGTCAAAATGGAATTAGGGTTCATCACTAAATCTCACTGAGTTTTCCCAATCCAAGAATATCAAGTCCCAGATAAACATCTGAGTACAGCTGGGACCAGGGCAGGAATCTGACCAGATGTGCCCCACCAGAGGGCCGATGAAGGCTGATTCTCAGGTCTTCAATCATAACACCTAAATCAACAGCAAGGGATCTTGATGAGAAACTTCCTTTGAAACTGTTTACTTGTTTATTTTAGTGCCTGAGCCCTGGGGCACTCCTGTAACAAGCTCTTCCCCTGTTATTTCTATTGTTTTCGTTCTAGTGCGGTGGTCTTCACACAAGGCATTTGTGTGTGCATCTGTGGTGTGTGCATGTGTGCATGCACGCGTGTGTACCACCGTGTGCGTGGAGGTGAGAGGACGACTTTTGGAAACCAGTTCTCTCCTTCCTCCGTGGGTCCTGCTGACTGAGGCCAAGCTGCCAGGCTTGTATACAGCGAGCCTTTTTCTCCTGGGCCACCTCACTAGTTACCTTGTCATTGTGACACTGGGTTTTGCTATGTGGCCGTGGATGGTCTGGAACTCACTATGTAGTGCAGACTGGCCTTGAATTTGTAACAGTCCTGCTTCTGCCTCTCAAATGTGGGGATTACAGGTTCGTGTCACCATGACCAGCTGAAAGTTTCCGTTCTGTCCAAGGCCATGGAAAGGGCAGAAAGCCTTAGAGCTGTGTACACACGTAAATAACCAAATATCTTACAGCTCTGTGCATGTATGCAGTTCTGAAGACAGAAGAATTCATGAGATGACTTCCTAAGACTCCTTCCCACCCTAAAACTGGCGTGTTCAAAGTAACCAACTACATGAGAAGGCCAAAAGGACTGGTCATCAGATTACTGTCCAGAGTCAGACAGAATGATCGTTACGCTGGGAATGGAATGTGGCAGAGCTCCGCCTTCTTAAGATGAACTTTTTCCATTGGCACCAACAACAAAGTCAGAGAAGGTCAAAGGAAGACGAGCAGGCGGCCAAGGAGATGTGCGTACCCGTTTCTCCATCTCCAGCACCGACGACCGGTCAGAGGTCTTCTCCTGTTTCTGCTGTGCGGACGGAAGGGAAACACTTGTTATATGGCTGTTTCACGTGTAGTAGGAAGCAGTTTTGCTCTGGCTCACCACCCGACATCCAGACAAGAGACAGCAGGGCTCTGGGCTTCTCCTTTGGCAAGGGTCTCGGCAAACAGACTGGGAGGTTGCTAAGGCAAACATCTGCCTTGAACAGAATGTAGGATGGCCACTGGGGAGCGGAAGGAAGGAAAAGTCCCTGACACACACCTGACTCTTGCCTTCCCTCTCCTTTAGACTCCAAACTCCATATACTACCTTCCTTCTTACTGACTCACCCCGTCCGTCCGCCCGCCCAGCCTTCTTTAAAGGCTGGAAATCCCTGAACTTTTTAGTGCCTGAGCCCAGCAGCACTCCTGTAAACAAGCTCTTCCCTGTCACCTCTCTTCTGAGCACTGAGGCCATTTTCTTTCTAGTGCGGTGGTCTTCACACAAGGCAGTCTTCTCAGGCAGTTTCTGGTGTCTGAACAGAGCTGTTTCCTTTATTTTAATCTCTTAACAAGATTTTATTTGAATAAAGGCTTTACAATACATATTCAGATCATCATAGATATTTTCAATTTCAATCCTTCAGAGGAGTGAAAAGATTTGGCTACTAAACAAGAAGAGCAACTTCAGCTAAGGTCCTGCCTTAAATCAAGGAACAGAGGAACCTGTCGGTCTCCTTTGCTCTTAGCATTATAGGACGGGGCGGAGTTTTATACATTCAATAGACATTCGATGAATAAAGAATGATTGTTCTATCTTGTCTAGCACAATGCCCAGACATTTGCAATAACTGGAGACATTAGGCTGGTCCTGTAGAAGGTTTCCTCCCGCTCCTCTCCTTTTCTTTCCTTTTCAATTACCAAAGAGCTAAAACTAACAGTAAAACTTGGAATTCTGGCTCTCATCCTAGACTTTCCCTTCTGCTCTGAAGGTCATGGCTGTCTGCCTCTATATTGCATCTGCTGAGGCAGAAAGGACAGGGGAAAATGCATTAGTAGATCTTGGAGTTTGTATCTTCCTTCATCTCTTTCCTAAGCTTGACAAGTGGGAAGATTTTGAGATTTGCAAAGTTCAGAATATCAAGAACTAGTTTTTTGTTTGCTTGCTTAGTTTTAAATTATAACTCCCTTGACTTCGAGTCGACCTTTTATGTGAAATGCTGCATGTGTCCATGTGGGAACTGTCTCCAAACAAATTCAGGAGGCTGACAGTCCTCCACCCCCATTCTACCAAACATCTCCATTTTTGGTAACTAGAGCCTCGGCTGTAGTGCCATCATTTCTTTCTGAGCTTCAAATAGCTTGCATTTGGTAAAACTGAGCATATCCTGGCTCGAGGAGCAAAGCAGCGAGCGGCAGGCAATGCTGCCCCAGTGCCTGGGAAAGGCTGATTCTATTCTGAAGTTCTGTGGGGGTCACTCTGCACAGCTGTGTGGGCTGCTGTGGACACCTCTCCGGCCAGTAGAAAAGCAAGACCTCCATGAGCTCAGCAGGCTAGCATCAGCAGCTCCGGCTGAGGAGTGGGCTGCACTGTCTTCCACGGGGCTGGTCCTGTGTGTTCTGTGGGGGGTGCAGCTTCTGGGGACAGCGGAAGGGCCGCACTCAGTTCTAACTGCTGTCCATCTGGAAGCTATTCAGAACCAGGTCACACTGCCCGGCTCAGTATGCAAAGGGAAGTGAGCCGGCTTACTTAGCCCACTCCCCACTTGTGGTGGGTTCTAACTGTGTTGTGGACTTTTCTTCCTGCTTACACCTAGTATGTGTTGGCTGCAGGTCTCAGAAAGTCCAGTAAGAGCCATGTTTAGTTCCGGCCACTCTCTGCTCCCTGTGTCCCCCATATCAGAGGGGCTACAATAAGATGCTAAGATGGTAGGTACTCAACCCCTCCCCTACTACATGCCATGTGCTTGCAACACCATGAGCCCGTAATTTCATTTTTGCTTTTGGATTATATCATATTACCACATTAAATAGCCACCTCTGGTTTTCATTTTATATCCTCGTAAAGAGCCCTTTTTGCCTCAGTTCCGCTTTTGAAATCCTTAGTCCCCAGGCATTCGGGAGGGCAATAACTCGATAGGCTTCCTTTTAACTCTGCAATAACCCAAGACAGGCTGCTGTAGCTTTCCGCTGCAGGGCTTGTTTCATGGGCAATGAGATCACTACCCCAGCAGCCTTCGAAGCTTTGTGTAATTAAGTCCGGCCTGGCAGTGAGAGGGAGTGGCTTACCCACTCATCCTCCACAAGTTCTGGAATGCCAGATGCAAGGGGGGACACTTCCGATCCAGGGTGGAGTCCTCCCGGAACCCAAGCTGGAACCGCTTCACCCCCAGTGTAAACAAAGCACTTAGAGGTTTGGGGGCTCTGTCGGGGCTCTCTGTCCTTGGGTACAGTGTTCTGCTCATTCGCTCCAGGAGGTGAGGAGCAGAGGAACTGAAGCGTGAGCAGGACAGGAAGATCGACCTAGCACTGACCCAGGACTGGCCTGACTTGTACTGGTAGTGAGGAGTTATGTGGATATTCATTACTAGCATTCATAACATCAGTAAGTTGTTGAGGGAACGTAACTATCAGTTTTTCAGTTAAGTTAAACAGCCACTGAACCCTAAAACCTTAAAATTAGACTCTACAAAACTTCCATCTGATCGGCTCTGAGGAAGTGCCACATTGAGTCTACCCCTCACCTGCCCCCAGGATACCTAGCCTGTCTCCTTGTAAACGCCCCTGCTGCCCCCACCGCCCCGCCTGGCTCTGCCCCTCCCCCTTACCTGAGCCATCTTCTCAAGCTTGGATTTGATATCGGCTAGCTCTAGCTGGGCCTCCTGAAGTTTTGTCTTCAGTTTCTGGTTTTCAGTCAGGGCACTCTCGTAGAGCTGTGAAGGGGAGAGAACCAGGCCACTGAGTGGGCTCCCAGCAGGAGAACTCATACTTTCTGCTCCGGGCCACCATGATCAACTGGGCGGAGAGGGGAAGGTGGTTTATGGAGGGCAGGGTGGTTTATGGAGAGTCCCTGTTTCTCCGGCTTTCAGATGGCACGATCTGGCCAGCAGGGAGACAGGACACTCCGATGGCAGGAAGCTCAACTCTAGAGAAAAACCAGTCCTCCACTCCCCCCACATGGTCTCTGCACTGCTTAAAGTATGACTTCCAGACAAAACAGAATTATTGTTTCTGGAGCCAGTGTGTTGATGTTCCTGAAATTCTGCTTAACAAAAACATCAACAAAGAAAAATTTCCTTAACCAAATGTTATCTCAAACACCTGGAAAGGGTTGTTTTCAAAGTCCAAAGAGCAAGAAGCAAGAGAAATGGGATGGGAATGACTTAACTCCTCTCCAAGCCAGAGATGGACGGTAATGAATTTTTAAAAACTCACACCAAAAAGTATTTGGTGGATATTCAAAACACCTTATTAAAGTACATGCTCCTTAAAAATAGGCCTAACCAAATAACTCTTATGGGCTCGGACCCACAGCAGTACACTTTTACTCTTCTTAAGCTAGCAAATTTCTTACTTTCCCTTATATTTCTAAGTATTTGGTTCTAGGCACACATACACTTACTGCAGTAAAAACAATACACAAATAGTCTTTAGTGGGGAGAGAGGTGAGGCAAAGAATTAATTACCTTCGTACTCCTTATTTAGAAGTTTGCTCATTTCTGTCTATTGGGGGAAAGGCTAAGAGGTTTATACATCATAAGGCAAGAACAGGACATCTGGAAAGAGATCCTACTTTTTTATAATCCCTGTTGCTGTCCTCTTCTACCCGGCTGGTCAGGCTGGCGAGGCGAGCCTCCCGGGCCTCCCGACGGGCTCTTGCTGAGGCTCGGTCACTGTAAGAATCGCTGCTGGTTGGGTTACTGCCTCCTGACTCCAACCTATAAGATAAATGTTCAAGATAAAAGTTGGTCTTGAGAACAAAGTGTGTGTGTGTGTGTGTGTGTGTGTGTGTAAAGTCTAAGGCTAGTGTGTACCTTTTCTATCTTGGAGGTATTTGAGAGCTCTGGCCAGAAACTTGCCTTCCTTGAGTCTCTTAGCCAGCTTGCCAGGTCTCATGGTCACACTGCACGAGAAAGTGTGCACACGAGCAAGCAGGCGGCTTGGGGAGAGAGGCCATCATTTGCCAAGAGTGGAGCTCACTTGAAAAATTGGTGGCTTGGACCCAGGTGCTGCCTGAAATCTTAGAGCTTTCAAATTAATTTGGAGTTGAACAGATTCCCTGAAGAGCATGCCTTTAAAAGTCGAAGTTTCTTGGGTCTGAAGGGCTCTTGGAAAATGATTATAATGAACTGTCAATGAATCAGAAACACATGGGCTTGGAGAGTGAGCCAGCGGGTAGAGGGGAGGAACGGCGGCCACGGCAAGCCGCTAGGGGTGTCGGGTGCACAGCAGGTCTGCTGGAGTCCTTCTCTAGCAGCCCATTCTCTCTGCTGTGTTCCATGGCAAGACTTGTCCTTGCAGCTAAGATTCCATACCTTCCGGCCAGGGAGCTTCTAGAGCTGTTGCTGCTTTACCTCCAGCACCGCTAAGAGTGTCGGGGAGACGCCTCTTGCTGACTACCAGTGGAGTGAGTGCCCTAGTGTCTTCTAACGCTGCACACCAGCTTCTGTTTGCCTGAGCTCCTCTTTGCTCACCAAGTGTAGCACATATCCAAGTGCTGTGTGCAAACCAGCCTTCCAGAGCACAACCCTGAACGGCCTGGTTTGCACCATCACAGCTGTGTGACCTTGTCTGGTTTCTGCAGAAGCTGCTGGCAAAGCTGGAGGAGCTGAAGTGAGGCAGAGGATGGTAACAGCGAAGGCTGTGTGGCCAGAGTAAGGTGGGAGCTGCAAAGGGAGCTGGGGCCACGTCTAGAGACGCCAGAACTTGTGTTCTTCTCACCTTCCCACTCCCTGTTCATGGAGACCTTGGTACTGATGATTTTTCTGACTACAAAAGCAATACATTAAGTAATACCAGAGTATCTACCCCATAATCTTGCCCAAGAAATAACTGCCGTTAACAGTAGATTCCATATACTTCTAGAATGTCATATACAAAAATGTTAAAAAGCATATTCCCATAAAGCCAGATAAGACCTACATTGTCTAACGCCTATCCCCTATATTTACGATGCTCTGGGCATTTTACCATGCAAGTAAAAATATACTTCCTCCTTAAAAAAAAAAGACTACATAATTCATTCCATGTTATCCGGTAATTTAATCAAATTTCGGCTAATAGACACATTGCTTCAAAACTTTTAGCTATTAATACATCTATTAACAATAATAAAATGTGCAGTCTTATTTATAAGTCTTGGTACAGTTGGCCAATTACCTTTTTTGGTGGTGGTTGTTTTCTGTTTGAGACAGGGCCTCATACAGCACAGAACAGCCTCAAACTTGCTGTGGGGAGAATGGTATTTGTATGGTCCTACTTCAGTGTTTTAAGTCACGAGCGAGGTGTGTGCTTATCCAGTGCTGTTGTCCCTGGACGGCTAGTCACACTCTGCTTACAATTAAGGTGGGCAGCTTTCCCTTTCTCTTGTCACACCCTGAGATAACGCTCTTATACATCAGGGCTTTTTACAAACGTCTAATGCATCTCACAACTTTTTTCTCTCTTCACTTTTTATCTGTTTATAGTGACTTTTTTTTTAAATTTTAAAAGCATCAATATTCTCTCTCTCTCTCTCTCTCTCTCTCTCCCTCTCTCTCTCTCTCTCTCTCTCTCTCTCTCTCTCGACAGGGCCTCATATTGCCCAAGTTGGCCTAGAACTTCCTATGTAGTCCAGGCTGACCTTGAACTCCTGAACCCCTGCTTCAGCTTTCCAAGTGCTGGGATTAGAAGTCTAAGTCACCATGCCCAGCTATTTACAGTTATTTTTAATAGCAATGAGGTAAAATTATATGTCATGAAACTTGACACTTATAATCTTTAGGGTACTGTTTGGGAAGGTATTTCCTATACAAGTACTGTCTTGTACTATTTTTGTAGAAAAGGTCTTTCTCTTTTTAAAAATCTAACTATTTGAAATATATTTCTGTTGGTTTTTTTTTGGGGGGGGGTATGGCTTGAAGGAAGGATGTATTTTCTCAAAACAAACAAGTTAAAATAGTTCATTTTCTCAATCAGTAAGTCTCTATCCACCCATGAGATGAAAATTCCCATCATACACATGATTTTTGAGGGTTCTATGAACTGTTCTGGCAATCTCTCTGCTTACTATTTTTTTTTTTTTTTTTTTGGTTTTTCGAGACAGGGTTTCTCTGTGTAGCTTTGCGCCTTTCCTGGAACTCACTTGGTAGCCCAGGCTGGCCTCGAACTCACAAAGATCCGCCTGCCTCTGCCTCCCGAGTGCTGGGATTAAAGGCGTGCGCCACCAACGCCCGGCTTACTATTTTTTATATATTTATACACCTCCTCATTCACTGATGGGTGTGTGTGTGTGTGTGCGTGCGTGCGTGCGTGTGTGTGTGTGTGTGTGTGTGTGTGTGTGTGTGTGTGTGTGGAGGTTGGAGGACAGCTCTGAGGGCTGGTTCTTCCCAGCGTCCCAGTCAGCTGTCAGGTGTGGTGGCAAACACCTCCTCTAGCTGCGCCCTCCCACCAGCCCGTCTTTACTCTTGCACTGGCACTTCCATATTTTAATCATGAAAAGCCTAGGCTATCCTTTGAAGTCTGGAGAGAAAGTGTCCTTCAATGTGGTCATTGTAGAATAACTGAGTTCTCTAAAGATGAGCTACAGCAAAATACTACTCTTTACTTTGCAAAGCTAAGTCATTCTAAGCTACTTTACAAGTAAAATATTTATTCTTGGCTGGTACTTGGTGAGAGGCAGATGGAGGAAAAATACATCTAAGTCTTAGCATATGTCAACAAGCAGAGCTAGCTTTACTAGCAAGCAGATTCTGAGATCAAATTGCCCTGTGCCATTCTAGACCCACATGTCTCTCTTAAAAGGATCACCTCCTTTTAATTTTCCATCACAGGAATAGTGGAGAAGAAGAGATTCAAACATTCAGTTCCAAAGTTGCTATGATTTTTATTTTCTTCTTTAGGAAGATCAGTTTTGTACCTTAGATACTATGTAAAAAATTACAGAGGATCTTATTTATTTTAGTAATTGAAAAACAGGCTTTTAGTTCATGTGACGAACTATTCACAAGCACCATTTAGATATGAGATATATGGTTGGATTCACTATAAAGTGATAATATCATCTCAAACTCATTTCAGGGTTCTACTTGGCAATCACCCCGTCTTCTGAACTATGAGATTGGGTTAACTGCCCCTTCCCTGCACCTACAATACCTGCCTGCAGGTCTAAATGGCACTTTCTGTGTTCTTCTAAAAGGATCTATTGCTCTAGGAGATTGTGAACTAAGTGCAGGGAAGGCCAAGGTCTGGAACTGATGCTGCAGTTCATCAGTTGGAAATATACAAAGTGAACTGGAAAGAAGAGAATCTGGTGGCAGGAAGGTGAATTGAAAGCTGTTCTAGAATTCTGGGCAAGAGTCTGAATTATTGTGGTGACTGAAGAACTGAAAAGGAAGGATATGAAGAGCACTACTAGTGTTTTATGCAACACTAAATTGAAATGGACATGCATTCACTCACAGGAATTAAGCATGCATATAAAACAGAATTCTTACCTAGAAAGTCTTTCATGCTAGAGAAAGGAGACAAAAACAAAAAAGAAAAAGAAAATAGCATTAGCAAGAGACTAATTTATATTTCCATTCATAAATGCACTTTTCAAATCTGACGTCTCAACCTCACGGTGGAGACAGGAGTTGCTGAGTCAACAAAGGGAACCAATTGGACTGACTGCCCAAGGCCACTTAGCTCTAACTCACACTCTGCGTTATGACTCACAGAGCTGAGGCTCTGGGGACAGCATCCTTTCGAACTGGCAGACCCCAACATACCGAGCCATCCAATGCTGCCCTCTCCACCAACGTGACAACCAAGCTTGCGCTGCAGGAGTGACTGCCATTGGCTTTCGTGTGACACTGAGCCATCTGCAGTGTGATATCCATCCTATTAATTTCCTTCCGTTCCCAAGCCTTCCCTGAGTGAACACTGCAAATTATAAACACTAAAACGCAGGTCAGTTCCTGGCTTCCTCTCAGATCTACAGCAAAGGTGAAGGAATGGGGAGCTATGGGGAGGAGGCAAAGTCCTACCCTAGTCCCTAGATGCTGCTAAGAACTTAAAAAGAATAATATTTAGAGATCTCAGAAGAAAAGAATTTCATAGATGGAAACTATAAGCTTAGTCCTTGTTTTTAAAAAAGCAACAGTGACTATGTCTGCATCTTCCATTTTTAAAAAATTACAAATGACCTTTGCCCTTCTATTCTTTCATAAAGAGAGAACTCAAACAAACAAGCATTTACCTGATTTACATGAGTTTATCTACTTTTACTTCCTCCTCTGAGATGTTAAAAGAGTAACAAAATCCAAAGGTCAGACAAGAAAAGAATGAAGAGAAGCAGTGTACAGTGGTCCACAAAGGAAGAAGGAACCCTTAAACGGGAGTAACACTCCACTGCCCTGCTTTGCTACCTCTCTGGAGTTAGTCACTCTTTCGTCAGCCCAGTCTCATACATCACACCCTCAAGTTGTACTGGGAAGTGTAGTGTCATCACAGCACACCACAGGTGGCTTTCTACGGAATTAAAAAAAACATAGAAAACCGTAAGAAATAGGTTAGTACGGTCAAGGAACAGCCAGAGAAAGCCCACAGGGTACCTGGATAGAAGCAGGCAGATTCCACGGGGGCTAATTTTCTCACGGATGGGAGAGCATGTGAGAAAGGCAATGCCAGTGATGACCTGTGATGGCCACAACAGTTTTTGCCCCTATAGTCTTCCTACAGAGCTTCTGACAGACGGCCATCTAAGAAGCTGGCGGATGATGACACTCCTACCTGCCTGGAACACTACAAGCTAATAATAAGCATGTTAAGACTCTGTTACCAATTCCTCTCTGGGGACCTTTTATAGAATGTACAAGGGAGGAGTGTTCCAGAGAAGGCAGTAGACGTCCACTCAGCCCCCAGCAGTTTGGGAAGAGCATCTCTGAGTCAATCCTTGACAGTTCCTAGAACACCCCCTCTAGGCTTGACCTGACTTTAGAGCGATGTGGATTCTTGGGTTTCCGGTTGCTGCACTCAAAGGCTAGCTCTAGCAATGTCCTGGAGCAGTTAACCCAGCCAGTTAGGATATAAAAGTCTCCTAAATCTCAGACGTCAGTGAGATTTGGGTGTAGCAGAGGTAAACTAGTTATCTCAATATAAACAGACTTCTAAAGGAGATGCTATTTTCTTTGTTAAAGAAAAGGTTTCCTTGGATGCAGAGATCCACAGCCAAACACAGGGCTGAGCTCAGTCGAAGAGAGAGAGAAGAGGGATTCTATGAGCAAGGGGCAACAAGATCATGATGGGGAAACCTACAGAGACAACCAAACCAAACTAGTGGGAAGTCATGAAATTTAGACCAACAACTGTGGAGCCTCCACCGGTCTGGACTAGGCCCTCTGCATAGGCGAGACAGTTATGTAGCTTGGTCTGTCTGAGGGGCTCCCTGGCAGTAGATCAGGATCCATCCCTGGTACATAAGCAGGCTTTTTGGAGCCCACTGCCTATAGTGGGACACCTCGCACAGCCTTGATGCAGGGGGTAGGGAGGGGCTTGGACCTGCCTCAACTGAATGTACCAGGCTCTCCCCATGAGAGGCCTTACCTTCTTGTAGGAGGGAATGGAGGGGGGGAGGGGGGAGGCTGGAAAGGTGGGAGGTAGGAAGAGGGAGATCTGTGATTGGTATATAGAATGAATAAAAAAAATTCTTAAGTAAAAAAATAAAAATCATACAAATGCTAAGAAAGAAAGAAAGAGAGAGAGAGAGAGAGAGAGAGAGAGAGAGAGAGAGAGAGAAAGGAAGGAAGAAAGGAAGAAAGGAAGGAAGAAAAGGCTTCAGTTTATAGTTTAAGAAGAGTATGCTTGGGCTGGAGAGATGGCTTAGTGGTCCAGAGCACCGACTGCTCTTCTAGAGGTCCTGAGTTCAATTCCCAGCAACCACATGGTGACTCACAACCACTTGTAATGAGGTCTGGTGCCCTCTTCTGGCCTGCAGGGACACATGCTGGCAGAATAATGTATACATAATAAATTAATTTTAAAAAAAAAAAAAGAAGAGTATGCTTAGAAACTGCAAGGTAAGACCTGAAACATACAGGGTTTAATGTTTACTGACTAACTGCTGATAAGATGGCTTAGGTTTTTGAATAATGCTTCCTAACTGATTTTCACTAATGAACACCTCTAGAAAATACTGGTTTGCTTTGCTGCTTGATATCCTAGATAACTGGAGGTTGGTGAAAAACAACTGGTTAGGCCCAGGGAGAAAAAGCTTCAGGGATCTTGGGTGACACAGGAGACGTAGTCAGCTCTTCCTCCTGCTGTCACCTAAACCACGTGTGTGTCTACTGTTAGGTTGACTGGCTTCTCACTGTAGAGAGCTGCTTGCCCATCCTACAGGGAGACTGCTGAGTAAATGTAGAGATAGGTAAGGCGGGATGTGCCTAAGTGGTCCAGGGAACAAGGAGCAAAAAAGTGTCATCAGCGATGAGCACAGCGCAGAAGTGACCACCACCAACCTCCCACAGAGGAGGGCAGGAAGAAGGAGAAGTTCTAGGACACAGAGTTTAGAAACCTCAGCTCAATCTCCGACACTATGGAGACTGTGACTGTGGCTACCCATGTTCTAGGAATGGCCTGCTTCTCTTACTTCTGTCCTCTGCATAGCTTTTCTTTTAAAAGCAGAAGAGTTACATTTGGTCCACTCTAGGGTCTAGATATCTTATCTCTATAAAATAATATTACTTATTTCAAAAGAGGTGTGAATCTTCTACCCAATTTGCAGGTTAACACACAAATATACCATATGTTTCAATCAGGAAGTCTTGAAGAAAAGTCCTTAAGAGTTTTGTTAAAGATCATTTTGTTCTACCTTTCACTCAAGACAAATGAATAATGGTCACTGAGATGGGTCTCTGGTGTGTTTGAACTAGATAAAACTGTTCAGTGAAGGGATTACTTTTCACAGCTTGAATGGCTTAAGAGGAGGCAGCAGAAACTGGGAATCGGACCCTTGAGCAGAAGAGACTTAAAGCTTTGGGAAACCAATAAGAATCCAATGAGCTTAAAATACGGTTTGGAAAATGTCCCAAATTAAGAAGCAGGCTCCTTCTTTTTATGCCTCTGGAAATACTCCATAAGAGCTCCCTGCTCAGGCCTGCTTCTAATAAGAGAGCCGAGTGAAGACTGCCATTACTGCAGATGGCAGTCCTAGAAAGGGACAGGAACCAGGATGGTTTTGATTTCTGAAATGAGGCTGGATAGAAAATCCCCACAAAAGCTTTTAACTGGAAAGTTATCAGGAGTCAGAAAGGCACATAATCAAAACCAAACTCTTTCTACCACGTTTAAAATAAAGTCATGGCTCTGGAAAGCTGGGCCCAAGGGAAAGGAACAGACCAAGTCACATGTCTTCTGCCAAGGTTGAAACTGCTTTAACTCATGTTCCTTTGGAGTCAGGGTCTGACCCCACAGCGATGGGAAAAAAAATCTATTTACATTTCCAAGAGAAGGACAAAGTAGAAGGAACATTTTATATCATGTTCTGTATTCTAGCTGAGCCAGGGGAAACAAGTTGAGCTATTCTGGGATGCCCCACAGAGAACCACCCTTTCATTTCAGAGTTCTCAGGCTGATGAGAAACAAGCCAACAGAAGTGAGATTGCAAAGATAGAATTTAAGACCACATTTCAGAACCTCTGAAAACCTCATCATAATAATAACACACACATACTGTTACAAACCATTCTGGTTTCATCAGTATGTCCAGGAGAGACAACAGTGACCTAGCCTTGTATCTTAAGGAATGCTCTTCATAATGCAAAGGAATAAGATTTCAAGGAAACTTGAAATAAAGACAGTATACTGGTCTGTAGTGTTGGAATAGATCTTTCCAAGTCTGTATCCCCAACAAAACAGTGGAGATCTTGTACAATTTGAAAATAGACAGATGGACACAGAACAAGATTTGTGTAACGATGCGATCATGGGGAAGACAATGAGAGAGCAGTATCAGTTCCCCTACATGTGCATAAAAACCATTATTTCCTTATTATCACCAAAGTTTCAGTTGTGTTAGTTTTCTCTTGCCGTAGAACTCAGATCTTACAACACCCATGATCTCAGCTGTATAGGTAGCAGGGCTGGTACAGCTCTAGCGGCTTCTGTGTTCTCTGCCTTTGAGCTCGTCCACCAGGGACTCCAGGATCTTGCAGCTTAGGCTGCAGGCCCGTGCTTTCCTGCTTTCAGCTAGTGGCCACTGGGGCTTGGGGGGTCTCCATGTCCCTTCTCACTCCATCCCTGCCCTCTCCAATCCAGCAATGGCATACGGGTCCTTTCCACCCGTCATACCTTTTACCTTTTGTGCCATCAGGCTCACACGGTTAGACCAGGCAGGCCCACCTGGGGGAAAACATCTGCCTATCATAAGGTCAGCTGTGCAGACGATGGTTACCTATTCACAGCAAATCTGCATTTTCATAAATACAGGGTCTGGAGATTAGACCAGGATATAATCTGAAAGCCATTTCC